GGGTGTTGCCTTTTGATATCACAGGAGGAAGCATAGAGAGGGGATTTGAAAGTCAGCTGTTGACTATTGGTAGGCACCGTTCTCTTGATTTGTTGTACGTACTTACTGTTCCTTGAATGTACTTTTATGGCTGACCTGGAATACTTCCATGTATTCCAGAGTTTGTGCGGAATGTGAATTTTGAGTTTCTGAAAACAAATTTCTACCAGTGCTTTTTGCCTCAAGCATTTTAAATTATAAAACTTGATACATTTTTTTCTTTTCCTTTTTTTCCCATTTTTTGGGGGGCTCCTAAGCAGTGCTACAGAGGCCATTCCCACAATTTTGCCAACTGAGCTTGCAGTTTTCCACACAAGTGCCCACAGATGCAGTGCTGCTTGAGCACAGCAGTGCTGGATTTTACCCAGACCCCACTTAAATTCCTCAGAGAACTCCTAAGGCTGCATCTGGCAATGTGGGTAAGGGGAATGAACTAGGGTCAGTCTTACGCAGAGCATACACCTTAAGCAAGGCAAACACCTTTACTCACTGTACTATCTCTTGGGCCTTGATTTTCAATATTAGTTCTGAACATCTGACAAATACTCATATATCTGTTTTCTTGTGTCTCTCACCAGAATTATAAAAGCAGGAATTTGTCTTGCACAATGCTATGCGTTCAGTATTTTTTTTAATGGCATACCTATTACAATCAGTTCATCATTGAATAGAATTAAAAAGAAAATCTCATAAGAGGTCACTGGGCCTCTGCCTGAGTACTTTCATTGGTAGGTCATTTTTCTCTCTTCAGAATTACCTATTTCATTTGAAGAGAACTATTAAATAACTACTAACATCCTTACTTTGTTCTTTGCAGGCTAAACATTCTTCCTACTTTATCTTTTTGAATATGGCATGGTTTTCAGGGCTGTCACCAGTTTAGTCATCGTCCCTGAACGTTTTTTGTGTGGTTTGTTTCTAAAGGAAGTATCAGAATTAAATTGTTTCCAGTGTAGGCTGAGTTTTGATCTTGACGCTAAGGAAGACTGTAGTTGCATTAACTTTTTTTTTTTAACCCACCTAATCCTGATTTATTTCAAAATTTTAATCCAGAGGCCAGAGAGATAGTTTAAAGGAAATCCTTAGCATTTGAAGGTCTCAGTTTCAAAGCTCTGCTGGTTTTAGTCCTAGTTTCCCCTTAGCATGCTGGGAAGGACCTCCATCTGCCCTAGATAAATAAATAAAAGAATTTTAAATTCACTAAAACCTGTACATCATTCTTTGATTTATCTTCTGCGTTGCAGTTGTTTTGTTTTCCAAATCAAACCACTTTAATGTTTTGTGCAGTATAAGTGCTTTGTACTTTAATGTTTTGTGCACTATTTTTCTTAATGACTGCAGATATATTAGACTTTATTGGTAGTGGTGGCTTTCCTGACTGGTGTGTAGTTTTCCGAAATTATAAGGAGTTACTTGTATGCGTTTGCCTTGCACGCAGCCAACATGGCCGACGCGAGTTCGATTCTTCCGCCCCTCTCAGAGAGCCCAGCAAGCTACCGAGAGTATCTCACCCGCACGGCAGAGCCTGGCAAGCTCCCCATGGCGTATTTGGTATGCCAAACACAGGAACAACAAGTCTCATGATGGAGACGTTACTGGGCCCGCTCTAGCAAATTGATGAACAACGGGAGGACCGTGACCGTGACTTGTATGAAACTGCTGGCTAACCAGTAAGAGTGCACTTGTATATCCATCAATTTCAGGATTGCTGGTAATCTGGGCATACATTTCCCAAATAATGTTGCCTCCCTGTGTGACAAGGCCCAACTCACTCACATTTACTTCAGTGATAATATCTTTGGTGATAGCACCCAGAGTTGTATGCAGAGAAGATGAGGTATTCTTCTTTATACTTAAGTATTGGTGAGCAAAAAGTGGCTTTCAGTTCAGGATGTGGTACTTGGACTTTTTAAAAATATAAACGAATTGGCTTAATGAATCTACATATTTAAGTGACTTGTGTGTGTAGCCGCCTCCAAAAAGCAGACCTTAGTGACCATCTTCTTCCACGCTTTCTTCTTCCTACTTCCTGTTCCAGCACCTTAATACTTCTGTTTCTTCCTGGGCATGAACTTCCATTTTCCCACTTTCTCTTTTTTTTTTTTTTTTTTTTTTTTTTTGTTTAATCATATTGGAAAGAACTTTAGCTTGGGATTTTCCCTATCTGTCCAGCAGATTTGCATGTACTGATCCTTGTGGAATCTTTGTTTGGTGTTTCTTTTTTCATTCATCTTACTGTCTTTTTCGTTTTTATTTTCTCAGTATGGCACTGTCTATTGATAGTGCTTAGACTTCAGTTATGGTAGAGCTTCAGACCAATCATCTTTTTTGCTTTCTTTGAATGTTCATGAGCTGCTCAATCTTCTGTTTTTGTTTGTTTGTTTTTTGGCTACACCAGGGGTTACTCCTGGCTCTGTACTCAGGAATTACTGTTGTTGGTGCTCAGGGGACCATGTGGGATTCCAGGGATAGAACTCACGTCGCCTGTGTTCAAGGCAGAAACTCTACCTGCTTTAACTTTTTTTTTGTTTTTAATGTAGGAGTACTGCCACTGTTAGCTGATTGAATTGGGCATGAACTCCACCTTTTTTTTTTTTCATAATTTTATTTATTTATTTTCTTATATTTATTTATTGAATCATTGTGGGAAAAGTTACAAAGCTTTCAGGTTTAAGTCTCGGTCATACAATGATCAAACACCTTTCCCTTCACCAGTACTCAACTTTCACCACCAAGAACCCCAATATACCCCCCTCCCACCCCTCCCAATGCCTGTGAGGCAGATGATTTCCACTTTTCTCTACATTGATTACATTCATTATTTCGACAAAAGATGCACCATTATTGTTTAGAATTTCCCCCCCAACAATCAGAATTGCTGAAAAGGCATTGTGAAATACTTTGTTTTCTGTTGCTGGTTATGAGAATCATATAATGTCATGTGGCCGGATGATTTTGGATTTCTGCAAAGAGCCAGATAATTACAAGATTGGTTTCTATGCGTCTGGTGTTATGGCTGTGCCAGAGAGCCGCTTGTGGGGGGGCAACTCGTGACCTTGGTAGGGCGTGAAGGGTGAGCCAGTACTGCCCCCCTTCCCATGAGACTGCAGTTGCCCCATCACTGCTGGCTTATACCTGGCTTTCCAATAAGTTCTGAGGTGGTGGTCATCTTGCTGCAAGTTTGGGGGGGGGGCGGGAGGCGGAAGGGAGCAACACCCTTTCCCACCCGGGGAGGCATGGCACTGTAGTTTAACGCATGGTCCATTCACTTTTCTGCTGCAAGCTGCCAGGCTCTGGATTAAGTCCTTTCGCCTCTGGAGCCATGGCTGTGCCGAAGAGCCACTTGTTGGGGGGACAACTCGTGACCTCAGTAGGTCATGAAGGACAAGCCAGTACCGTCCCCCTTCCCATGAGACTGCAGTTGCCCCATCACCACTGGTTCATACTTGGCTTTCCAATAAGCTCTGAGGCGTCAGCCACCTTGTCTGCGGTCCAGATGCATTTCTGCCAAAAGTCGTTGGGTTCTGAGATTCTTTTCTTAGTCTCTGGGATGATGGCCGTTAAGCAGTTCAATCAGGAACCAGAGAGGCCATGTCTCCAATTATATAGCTGAGCCGGAGGTGGTTTGTGGGTATGTCTCCCACATACCTAACTTTTGGCCATTGACTTTCTTGGTAAACTCTGCCCCAAGTTTTTGGGGTCTGGCCAAAGGCACAGCAGAAATTTTGGGGTATCTGAAGGTCTGACGGTGCCATCAGGCTGCTGATGCACTCGCCTCACAGGTACAGATTGACCTGCTTTGACTATTTGACAGGAATACCCCCATGCTTTAACTATTTTTGTACCGTCATTCCAGCCCCAACCTCTCAATCTCTTTTTCTCATGTAAGGTAAGGTAAGGTAAAGGCCCTCCCGTTGATCGTCGATTTGCTCGAGCGGGCCCAGTAACGTCTCCATTGGAGACTTTGTTGTTACTGTGTCTGGCATATCGAATACTCTCGGTAGCTTGCCGGGCTCTCCGAGAGGGGCGGAGGAATCGAACTCGGGTCGGCCATGTTGGCTGCGTGCAAGGCACACGCCCTACCCGCTGTGCTATCGCTCATTTTTTCTAATAAAGAAATTTCCTGGACAAATAAAACATACCTTTGATGTACTGACTTGTATGTGTAAGTTATTTAAGAAGCTAACACAAAAGTAACTGTATATGTATGTATCATAATTGATAAAATTGAGGATTGTGTCTGAGTAACTATCTCCCATCCCTCACTTTCACTCATTCAACTCTCTTTTTCTTCTCAGAACAAAGCCTTAGTAAATGGGTAAATGCTATTTTTACATTTATAATATGGTATGCTGCTTTTTTTTTTATTTGGTTTTGGTTCCTGCGCACACCTGGTCTGTAGTGTGGGTAATCAAATCTGGGCCTTAAACCCAGTCTTCTTGCATGCAAAGCGTGTGCTCCAGCCCGTTGAACTCTCCAGCCTCGTGTTTCTTTTTTTCAGTTGCCTTAAATAACCTGACATTCTTCATCATCATTGAAAACTCAAGTTTAAATTGATCTATCTGGAACTGGAGAGAGAATACAGTGGGTCGGATATTTGCCTTGAAGGCAGCTAACCCAACAGCCCATATGGTTCTCTGAAGGCAGATCCCTGTGCTTGGTGTGGCACAAAAACAAAACAGATAAATCGATCTTTTTTCAAAGGTTTGCCTATTTTTGTCAGTACCACATACTTTATCATTTAGTTACTGTTGCTTACATGAGGCCTTTTCTTTCACTAAGGAAAGTGTGTGTTGATTGGTGACAATGATTGTAAAACAGTATTATCCACAGAATTTACTGGCTTAGCTTGTATTTTTTTATTTTATGTGTGAAATAATTGCTTGTAGTACTGGGTTGTTTTTTTTTAAATCATTGAGAGAAAACAAACATAAAACATTCTCTTCTAATTCAACTTACAGGAAATACCCTTTTGAAGAGAAATGAAGAAGAAAACTATGTATACCATAAATTTGGGAGATCAGGAGTATGAAGATATGGAAGGTAACTTCATTTTTGTAGTTTGTATGTTGAAACTTGTTATTTCCAAACTGTTTGTTTGTTCTCATTTCAAAATGCAAAACTGCTCATTTGTTTTTATTCATTTTTGTTGCTTTACACCCACTCCTTCACAAAAACTTAAGAAATTTTTTTAGTGAAAATCTGTTGGTAAACTCTTTTGTAGTCTATTCTTTTCAGAAGTATTGAGAAATAAGCAGTTTTGTTTTGTTTTCTGCTGTTTTCTAATCTTAGCACTTTGAAGATGCGATTTATCCATTTTCTGGTTTTCTTTTTTACCTGTTCTTAAGTGATTCTTTTTCAAACATGCGTGCTTTTTTCTTTATAAGCTTTTTTTTTTTTTTTTTTTTGCTTTAAAGACCTTATTTTCTATCCTATTCCTAAGTATGGATTTTTTTTTTAATTTCCTGGCTGTTAACTGCTTTAATCATGGCCTCTACTTTATTATCTTTTTCTGGATTTTAATTTAATGTTATATTTAGTTCTGGCCTCATTTTTAAATCTTTTTCTCTCAGTTTATAACTGTTTTTTAAGATTCTAGATAGTTTTTTTTAAAGTCTTTTCTAGTTATATCCATTATTCTGTATCTAATAATTCTGTGTAATATTTGAAAATTCTGCTATTTGAAGTTAGAGTATCTTTAAAAGTATTAAAAGTAAATATAGCATATAAAATACAAAAAATAAATCTTAAGTCTCTTCTGATTATTTTGGGTTGTTTTTGGGTCACACTGAGCTATACTCAGGATTTACTACTCCATGCTCTGTGCTTAGGGATCACTCCTGGTGGGGTTCAGGGGACCATGTGGGGTGCCTGGGTTTGAGCCTGGGTTGGTTATGTGCAAGGCAAGAAACCTACCTGCCGTCCTCTCCATTCGTTGTTGCAGGATGTTTTCTTCCAGAGGCTTTATTTCTTTTTTCCTTAACAAATACCGGGATCACTCAGCCCTGCTTGAGGGTCTTGTCTAATACTAGAATCTCTCAGGATCGGTCCCTACCTGGGGTGGACCGAAGGCTTAAGTCCTATGAGAAGTGCACTATATGGACACACACGGATAGTCCCAGGATATCCAGCTTTTCTGTTTGTTTGGACTACACTTTTCACATTTTAGCTATTTTATGTTGGTATCACGGTCCTCCCATTGTTCATCAATTTGCTAGAGCGGGCCCAGTAACGTCTCCATCATGAGACTTGTTGTTACTGTGTTTGGCATATCGAGTACGTCATGGGTAGCTTGCCAGGCTCTGCCGTGCGGGCGAGATCAAGATTAGGATACATTTATTCAATCACCTCTGTAGAATTAGAATCTGATTCTTACAAAAAGCAAGTTACAGAAACATGGTTTTTTCTCCACCTTCATTTTAAAACGTTGCAAGATAGCTTAACAAATCTGGCTTGTTCTTTTGCATAAACACAGTAAGATTAGAGAACTCTACATTTGGGATACCCCATTATTTTATGTTGAATTTCAAAAAAATTTTATTTACTTATATAAGTCAGCAATACATTCTTTTGTATGTAGTATTATATCTGGTGGACTTTTTAGATTAGTACAAACCCTGAGGTGAATAATTTAAGGAGTCTTTATTCAGATCGCAAATGTACATGTATTAGTCTAACAAGTTCCTTATAGGAATTATTTCTAAAGATATACATTATTAAAAATGTGAAATGACAACATTTTCCAAATGACAGCATTGTTTGTGATAACCAAAGATTGAAAAAAGTGAGTAAAATCAGGATAAAACAAAAATATTTCATGTGTGTCTTTCATGTTCTAGCATTTATGTGAAAGAAATTTGAAAGACTGTACTTACTTGCTTGTTTATTGCTTGCATGAAAAAAAATCGTAAATGAAGCAAGAAAGTTTTTACAGAAACTTATTTAGAAACATGTCAGTGGTGAGAAAGGGGAAAGTGCATATTCAAAGAGAGCACAGGCTTTTCCAGAGTAAAAATAAGCAAGCAAAGAAACAGAAACCAGCATGTTCAAGGCAGAACATGGGCTTGGAGACCAGGCCAAAAACATCTTTTCAAGAACAAGAAACTTAGTGTTGGGTTGACCATAACTGAGTGGAAAACTGAATGGAACTGAGAACAAAGGATTAGATGTGGAAGGGAGATTTACAATCTTATAAATTTTGAGTTTTGTGATTGTTTAAAAATTAATGAAAAAGAAGTTACTTCCCATTAAAAATATAAATTAGTAAGGTGTTGGTAGCATTGGACACAAGTAGTATGTTTGTTGTTATGTATTTAAGTCTTATTGAGTAGTAGTTAGCAGAGAGCACTTTAGAGTTATGTAGTGTATTATACTTCCACAAATACATGAGTTGGTCTGGAAATTATTGAAAGCATATATGACTTTTTTACTTTATAGACAAAGAAAACAAAGATAACACTACTACGACTGGTTTTTTGTACAATGAAGCCGACAGATGTCCAATATGTCTTAATTGCCTGTTAGAGAAGGAAGTTGGTTTTCCAGAAAGCTGTAATCATGTCTTCTGCATGCCTTGTATTCTTAAATGGGCAGAGGTAAGTCAAAGAATAAGTATTAAAAATAAATGTATTTTAACTCCCTAATGTGATTTTTTTATACCTAAAGAGTTTATAACTGCCTTTCATAAATTATTGTACAGTAATGTGGTTTATTTCTTTGCTTCAGCATTTCCTTCTAATTTTTTTTTCAGTGTAGGAGTACTGTTGTTTATTCAGCCATTAATTAAGCTGATTAAATTGGGGATGAACTCCACATTCTTTATTTTTTTTAATTGAATCACTGAGATGGCTGAAGCGATAGCACAGTGGGCAGGTCATCTGCCTTGCACGCAGCTGACCCAGGTTCAATTCCTCCATCCCTCTTGGAGAGCCCAGCAAGCTACTGAGTATCCTGCTCGCACGGCAGAGCCTGGCAAGCTCCTTGTGGCATATTCAATATGCCAAAAAAAAACAGTAACAACAAGTCTCACAATGGAGATGTTACTGGTGCCCACTTGAGCACATTGATGAACAGTGGGAGGATAATGTTACAGTGCTACACTGTGAGATATAGTTACAAAGGTTTCATGTTCGAGATTCAGCTGTACAGTGATGGAACACCCATCCTTCCACCAGTGCGCACTCTTCACCATCATGTTCCCAGAATATCTTCCCATCTCCCCATCCCAATCCTCACCCTGCGTCCAGGCAGGCAATTTCCCCAATACTCTCTCTACTTTTGAGTTTTGCTTGAATTTTCCCACTACCATTCAAGCCTCCCTGCCAGAGGCAGATGCTAGCTCTTTTATTGTCCATTGCTCATTTTGAATATCTTGGGTGACACAGCCGTGTGCTTCTGGAATCCTAGATTATAAATGGTTGGGTTCCAGAGACATTTCTGTAGGGCACTAATCCATTTTGGGATTCAGTTGGATGTCTCTGGACCAGGGCTGTTGGTGCGCTAAGATGGCACCCAGAAGCACATTGTGGGGGAGGACAGCCAGACTGATGAGTGGGCAGGGAGCCGGGAAGGGACAGCCACCGTGAGGCATGTAGAATTAATCCTGGGACCCACATACCTGGGCCTTGATTGCGGAAGTTCTTGGTTGCCGGGATTCCATCTGGAATAGGTGGAGAAACTGCACCTGCTCCATCTGGGGTGTCCTGGTGACATTGGTTCAATATGGGTGCCTGGAGAGATCTCCGGCTCTGTGGTGTCTTCTGGGACTCGCTGCTGTGTCTCTCTCTGGCTTTTGACCTCTTTCGAGATTTATTTATGGGTCTCTGCAGCAAGGTCAGTAATAGTGTTTACAGAGTGGCGCTGGAGTTGATTCACACGGGAGACTGCCAATGCTCCCATGTGTATTGGGAAGTGGGGGGAGGTAGCCCATCCCAACTCTGTGAAAGCTCTGTAAAATTTCAGTCACAAATCCGCATACCCGGATTTTCAGCAAATCATATCTTGGTGAGGTCCATCCAGAAATAGTCAAGTCAAACTCAGGGGTATGGTGGCGATTTTGAATTGTGGAAGCAGGCGGCTGCTGGGGGTTCTGCTTGGGCGGTCACAGGCCAACCTGCCCCCCTCTGATTTACCCCAGTCTGATCAGCCATGCAAGGGTCAGAGATTAACTGTCACTTTTGGTCTCTTTTGAGATTTATCTGGGGTGTCTGAGACAAGGCCATTAAGTGAGCTTATATAGCTGAACCAGAGGTAGTTTGTGGGTGTGGCTTCTACATGCCTAACTGTTAGCTGTTCAATTTCTTAGTAAACTTGGTCCCAAGTTTTTGGAGTTAGGCCAAAGGCACAGGGGCAATTTGGGGGTGTCAGGAAGCCTGAAGGCACCATCAGGCTGCTGATGCACTCGCCCTACAGGTACAGGTTGACCTGTTGGCAGCATCATAACCCCTCTAATTTTTTAAAAAAATTTTAAAATTTTTATTAGTGAGACACCATGAGGTCCAGTTGTAGACTTACAGATTTTTGTGCTTGGGTTTCAATTATACAATGATCAAATACCCACCCCTCCACCAGTGCCCATTTTCCACCACCACGGGTCCCAGTATCCCTCCCACCCTCCATCCCTCCCTGCCTCTGTTCTAATTTTCTTTTAATCATCTTTCATTTTAAGTTTATCTTTTCAAGCTTATGTAAAAAAAGTAATAATTGTACTTCCCTGGCAGGGAAGACACTACAATCACAACGGTGGTTTTCCCAGGGCAAGACTTAGCCATTGCATTTCGGATGTGCAATCCTGTGATTTCCCCAAATATGGATGATTTGTGGTAATCAGGGACTGTTTTCGAATTCTCCCCTCAAAAAAAAAAAAACTTTAATTTAGGGCCAGAGCGATAGTACCATGGTTAAAGGATTTGCCTTGCACACCGCCAACCTGGTGCAAACCATTTCATACTGGTTTCACTCCCCAGCCATCCCATATGGTCCCCCGAGCAGCGCCAGGAGTAATTCCTGAGTGCAGAGCCAGGAGTAACCCCTGAGCATCGCTGGGTGTGATCTGCCCTTCTCCTCCCCCTCCTACCCCCCTCCCCAGCAAAAAAAGAAAAAAAAAGCCCCCCCCCCCAAAAGAAAACCCTTTCAAGAGCAAATTAAGTATTTTTTCTGGTTGAAATATGATTATCTCATCTTCAGTGTATTTGACCCTCTTGGAATTTTATCTAGAAGTAATAATATCTTCTGTTTGCCTTGTCCTTATATTTTTCATAAATTATTTGATTTTTACTTTATATTAACCTTGAGGGATACCCAGAGCAGATATAATAGTATACCTCCACCTTTGTTCTGTAACCTGGCCAAGATTTCATACTTTAAGAGACACAATGAATTTAGAACTGTATTTTCTAATCTTCGTTTTTAATTTAGTATGGGCTAATTTTAGCTAAGTGAGATTTATTACTAAGGTTTGAGGAAAATGATTTAGAAAATGGACATTTTGAACTTCTTAATATTGATATTGATTCAAGTTGGGTCAAATAGTACTTGAGTTGGATTATTTCTTTTAATACCCCATTGTTATAAATTGTGACAATACTTTGTCATGTTCATTGTGCTCCATTTTCTAGGTGGATTCTCAGTGTATAGAATGAGTAAAGGAGATAAATTTAAAACTATTTTTTAATATTAGCTACGTTTAGATTGTCCCTAAACACAGTAGAATCAATTGCTCGTTAATATAGGGGTTCAAAGTTCTTTGATTTGCTTAATATTTACATTAATGATGTGAAAAGGATAAACCTGGATAGTTACTCAGTGGGTCGGGCACTTGCCTTGTAGGAAACTGACTCAGGTTCACTTTCCAGCACTCCCTGTGCTCTAGCACCACCCCCAGCACGCCAGAAGGGATTCCTGAATGCAGAGCCAGGAATTACCCCAGAGCACCACTGGGTGTCAACCAAAAGACAACAACAACAAAAATTTAGACAATATGAAAAGAAAAGCATAATTGTACTTTTTCTGTGGCAGAGTTCTTTAGGTGGAGAAAAAGATTTGTTGTGCTGGTTGAGTTTATAATAGTACAATTAGAAACAGTTTTGATTATAGTAAAATGTACTGGTCTTGGCAACAGTGTACTAAGCAGTAGACAAAATGTATACTGAGAAAAGTGTTGTGAGCTTTTTGAATCAATATGATAATATCTGTATGTTTGCTGGAGCATTGATTTTTTTTTTTTTTTTTTTTTTTTTTTTGCTGGGCATTCACACCTGGTGATGCTTAGGGGTTACTCCTGGCTCTATGCTCAGGAATCACTCCTGGCAGTGCTGGGGACCATATGGGATGCTGGGGATAGAACCCGAGTCTGTCACGTGGAAAGCAAACACCCTACCTACTGTACTATTGCTCAGGCCCTGGAGCATTGATTGTTGAATGCATATTTTTCTCTGCCACCCAAATGAAGCTTTCATACGTGTTAAATTGAATGTACCTTGCTTTGCTTTACTCTAAGCAGAGAAGCAAATTACTAAATGAGTAGACGATTTCAGCAGTGCCTTTTTTAAATTATATTTTGATTATATTTTAGGTTCAACTATAACCATTTTCTCTACAAAAATTAGTATGTATAAAAAAGACATGGCTCACCATCTTTCCTTACGTTCTCTGCATCTTTCGAATAGACATTAGTTTATCATGGTATATATATATATATCCCAAATTTATTTAGAGTAGCATAAAGTGGAACTTTTTGCTTGAAGACTATGCATGTTCAGACACTACTATAGAATGCCTAACATTTTAATTTTTGACTTTTTTTAAACTCTTACATATTTATTTATTATTGAATTACCATGAGAACAGTTACAAAGCTTTCAGGTTTAAGTCTCGGTCATACAGTGATTGCACACCCAGCCCTTCACCAGCGCACATGTTCCACTACCAAAAACCCCAGTATACCCCCTATCCCACCCCTCCCCCTGCCTGTATGGCAGATAATTTTCACGTTAGTCTCTCTTTACTTTGATTACATTCAAATTTTCGACAAAAGACCCGCTATTATTATTTGGAATTTTCCTCCAACTATCACACCTCCCAAAAAGGCATCATTAGATAATTTGTTTTCTGTTGCTGAAAATGAAGGGCATATAATGTCGCGGCTGCGCGATTTTTGATTTTTGGTATTTTAGTCATTAAGTCCAGAGGCATTTCTGGCGGAAGTTGCCGGGTTCCCAGATTGGTTTATATGCCTCTGGAATCATGGCCATTCGGGAGCAGAGGAGTATGTTTAACTTCTTAATACCGTATGACATTTTTACAAAGTAGTCACATCATTTTACATTGGAGGAACAAGGTGTTCCTCAGTTCCTCCCCTAAACTTACTGTCCATCATTTTTATTAGTAAAAGAGTGGTACTGTAGCACCGTTCTCCCATTGTTCATTGATTTGCTTGTGCGGGCACCAGTAACGTCTCCATTGTGAGACTAATTTTAGTTCAATTACGGTATTGGTGTTACATTTGTATTCTGCCAGTTTCTTCTCCACTGCACTCTTGTATTCAACCAAAAATTTCTCCATAGCACCAAATTCTCTCATTTCCAAGCTGCGAGCA